AAAAAAAAAACGGGAGCCTTTCCTGATTTAGGATGAGCTCCTTGGACCAGTTTGCTAAAGCACTATATGGCATGAAGATAATTATATTTTTCTTTTCCAYAGTAAATGAATACTGCATTTGATGCTCCAAGGATAAAAGACAACCGATAATGGACAAAGAGCATACTAAAACACAGTTGTACGAGCTGAGTCACCGATCACTGGCAGAAACAATCGTAGAGACGGGTTTTCTTGTCTTGATAGCAGTAACAAGTCTTATTGGAAATGCTTTAGTACTTTTTGTGTTTTATAAATCTCCACGCCTTCGTTCCAGGGTTACCAGCTACTATATTATAACACTTGCTATATCAGACGTACTGTTGTCCACAATCGTAATGCCCATAGGAATAGCAGGTGCTGCTTCTGGGCGGGATATTTTTGGGAGCAAAACAGGAGAGGGCATTCAGTGGGTATACACAGAATTAGTTTTTGGATCTGTTTTGACCACGGCCCTCATAGCAGTGAACAGATTCTTCTGCGTGACGAAACCATCCATTTATCGAAAGTATTTTAAACCTCGACCTGCCAAAATTACGATTGTCTCAGCTTGGCTGTTTTCGCTGACTTTTATTGCCGTTATGTATTTGAGTGGGATGTGTACGTTCGAGTTTTATCCTGGCTGCTTTATGCATTTTCCTTCTTTCCGAGATCAGATTACAGCAAATGTAATTGGTGTGTCATACCAAATGTTATTCGCAGTCGTGCCCTTGATCATCACTGTCGTTTGTTATTGGAAACTTTACAAGCATGTGAAGAGCCATAACGTACAAGTGACATCGAATCTTAACGCTGCAAATGAAGTTCAAGTTCCAACACTTTCCAAGGAAGAAATTGCAGTGACAAGATCCTTAATGGCCTTGGTTTGTGGGTTCATCGTCTGCTGGATACCCTGTTCCACAGTCTTTCATCTCGCTACTTACATTAACCTTCCTCGACGTGTGGAGGCAATTATTGTCTACACTTCATTTGCAAGTAGTGCTATCAATCCTATTGTGTATAACGTATTCAACAAACCATTTCGAAGGCAGTTTTTACGAGTTTGTTGTCATCCAATGCAAAACCAAGTAATAGCAGGGGGCAGTGAGCTTTCAAATGTGAGTTCAGCAAAAACSTACCAAAGAGGTGCATAAAAAAGAATCAATGGCGCGATGGAGGAACTTTGAAGAAGTTAATTGAAACTAAAGAATCATAAAATCAACGAATAAAACAATAATAGCATTGTTAATGCCCCCGGAGCATAGCACTAACCAGTTAGAATAGGACGTTTGCACGATGTCATCATTTGACTCCCACTACCAAGATGCTTCGCGAAATGTATTCCCTTATGAGAATAGTAAGACAATTGGTGCTAATTAACTGAACAAAAGAAAGTGTGCAAGGGAGTCTGGTAGTAGAGGCCAATGACGCCATCGTGCAAACGTCCTATTAGTTAGAATAAAATTGAAATGAGGGATCGAAAACTAGAGCGCCGGACAAAAACCCCGTACGTCAGTGAGAGTCCGAAAGAGAACCAACCAAAAGAGGAAAAAAACAGAAAAGAAACCTGGAATACCGAGGTTATTAGTTCTTATTGTGGGGCAACGACAAAGACAATGCAAGTGGTGTTATGATATACCGGCAATACAGATGTGCTATTCTAAATACTAAAGTACAGTGCTGTAAAACTGTAAGGTCTAAACAATAACAATCCCAGAAGGGAAAAAGACTGGTTCCATTTACATAGACATAGATGAGTGATGACTAAACAGTTACAAAGCTACCCGCAAAATTCAAAGCTTCTCTTTCACTTTTTCTTTGCTAAAACAAAAGTAATGTCAAGTACTCATAAACTTGGATTGTGTAGTTCATGCCAGGGGTTGCAGTTCGATTCGTGACTAAACGGAATGTCGGACAGCATATATCTCAAAAATTACATTGTTCACAAGCAATTGCTCTGGATAAATCATAATGCCACTCCGCCCCATTTCAAATTCCTATATATACTTCATTTGTAGCAGATAGCTTATCAAACTTTGATTAAATGCTCGGTTGCAATCTGCTAACCATTAGACTAGTTATCATAATTTTCGAAGTGCGAAATATTCGCGACTCGAAGCCTACTCGAAGCCTATCCGAAGCCTATTCCGGACAAAAGTCAAGTCTAAATGTAACTTTTCTTAACAAAATTCAGTTATAGGTTTGTTCCGCTGTAGGTTTGGTTGTTCAAACGTTACCATATCCGGTTCATACAGTTGTAAGATACTACATGTGCTTATATTATGTACGTAGCCTACCACCACGTGGCTTAAGTGGATAATTTTCCAAGAAAAACCGGAAGACGTCAATTAAGATTATTTGGGACCTTCAGGGGTATGCTTCTCTTAAACTCTCTCTACGCAACACGTTAAACAAAACCCCTAATACTATATATCGTTTTAAAGGTCAYATGATACATATTTCGAAAATAATATTAATTCAAAATGATTTTCTAACTTGAAACAATACCGAGCTTCAAACACAAATCGAGCACGTTCCGTAGAGGTGAATTAACGGAAATAGCGTTAAGCGCGTATAGCCAAAACAACCTCACTATGTGAATAAGCAGAAGATAATCTACAAAAGGGTGTGAGCGATTTTTGATATTTTGAGTTTATAGTTTGATGGAGTTTTGTTTAAAGTGTTGAAAAGAGAGTGTTTAACCAAACATACCCCTGAAGGTCTCCAGTAACCTTAAGGACTTATGATGTTAAATACGTGTCTATTCAAAAGGGGTTGACAGCTGCTCAAGGTCAACTTCTAAAAATTCATAATATTCATAATTTTTCATTAAGCGCCAAAATCATGCGCCGCTTCTAACCGTAACGGTCTGAAATCTCAAACTTGTAATCAGTCAAGATTTGGGGACCACTGCAAGAAAACTCGTCACTCGATGAGATGGCAGCCCGCAACAACTACCCTGCAAGGCTTTCAGAGCATCTTAAACCAATGAGCAAGGAGAAAGATGATAGCATGAAAATGTACGCCGAATGGTATTTTGTAGAGACTGTGGATACTGGAAAAGCAGAGCAAATATGTC